ACATTCCTCCACCTGCCCCGAGAGGAGCTATTCGATGGGTTAACCGTCCGCGAGTGCCTTTCGGAGGGTCTTTTTCTGATCCCCCTGCGCAAGGATGCACGGGTGGGGCGGGAGCGCTGGGGCCGTGCTCTCCTCCACGGCTGCTCATCGACAGCAGATAATTTCCATCTTAAAATAAACCACTGCACGCTCACAAGCACTCAACCCCCCAGGCAGTGATGCCAGTGGGGAGCATATAGTCCTTGGGGTCCCCATTGCCCCGCTGACACCAGCTCTCTCAGCAAGGGGACATGGGACAGAGCAGCTGACAAAGTGAAGAGCCCCAGTGCCAAAGGCTCCTTTCATTGCTCCTCTTGGGGACAGTTGTGGTGGACACAGGTAACGTCACATCGCACCAGGAGCCACAGAGGAGGATGAGGAGGAATCGGCAGCAGCAGCCAAGGCGCAGCCCTGCAGCCCCAGCCCTTGCAACAGCCTGGGAGTGATCCTGCACAGCCCCGGAGGTCCAAGCAAAGCCTGGCACCGCCTCTCTGAGCTACACTGACTTTAGGTCAAGCCCAAAGCAACAGGCTCCCCAGCCCATAGGTGCTCCTCCTGGCACCCAGCCCTTCCAGCCCACCACCACAAGACCACTTGCCTGCAGGGTGCCCCTTCTATTAAATAAGGGCAATGTTATAGCATCATTAAAACTTAATAAATCCATTTCCCATATAAATACCATTAAATTCAGATTTTGGGGAAGGGAATTAGGGTGAAAACTTGTTAAAAGAAAATTACTTCTGCACAAATAAATTTTTGCAACTTGACTGAGCGTGAAAGTTTCCCATTAAAATGCAACTCCGCTCCCTTTGCTGGAAATGTGCAAGAGCCTAATAACCAGGGCCTAAACATTAACTGTTTAACTGACTTTTCCAATATTAACTCCAGACTGCCGTGGGGGAAGGGGAGGACGTGACGGGTGAACGCCTGAAGTAGACATTAATTACTGCTGTGCGAGGGAAGCACACCCAGCGCACACACCGCTCACATGCTCCCAACAGCCCTTTGCAGACACAGACGTGGGACATCACCGGCCGCGAGCAGGGCACGAACCCCGCTGCGCGTGGGGCAGTGGGCAGGATGCTGGGACAGGGCTCCCCACAGGACCCAGCCAGAGGTCTCCCCCCTCAACCCGGGCTTTAGTTGTGGTCCTGAGCCTGCATCTCTCACACCGAGCACTGCATTTACCAATAGGCACCTCCATCGCCTCATTCGCCTCCGTGAGCCGGGATCCGCCTGGCAGGTCGTGCTGCTCCATCTCGCACCAAGGCAGGTTTTGATGTTCAGATAAGCAACAGCACATGGAGGGAAACTGAGGCACCAAGCAGACCTCGCTTGATGTATGTGGAAACCCCGACACCGTTCCACACTGCAGACCCCTGCCCGCGGGGCACTTGCCAACGCAGGGAGGTGAGACGAGGTGACCCGGTCCGCCAGACACATGCTAGAGCTGTAGACGGAGGCGCTGCAACGGGTCCAGGAGCTACCGTGCACCGAGGAAGGCAGAGTCCAGACAAGGGCGCGCAAGTCTGAATGGGCACCATCACACCTCGGCCAGACGGCCAGCTGGAAGCAGCGCCGAGCTGTTCTACCAGCAAGACTCAGATGTCAAAGTAAAGACTGGGGTGTCCCCAGGTGGGCATCTCTAACTGTCCTGGGGCTCTCCAAGCAGGCAGGTGGGAGCTGCCATGGTCCGGTGTCACTAAGACCTAGTAGAGTGCTGCAAAGACTTCCCAGCAACACAGGTGATAGATGTGCAAAGACAGTTGCGCTATTAAGTCCAGCTGGGGCTTCTTTAGCCCTTCAGAGCCCCTGCTCTGCAACCCTGATCAGACCCTGCTGACACCGGCAGTGCCAAAGCAGGGCCCTGACCCTCACACATCTCTGCTCCTGCTCCTGGATGCCTCTGAGCTCAGATACCCAAGAACCAAAACTGCAACGTCCCCCCTCAACACCAGAGTAGCATTTCTACTGCTCATTCCAGATCTTTGGCCGATGCGAGTAGCTGCAGTTTTACCCCAGACTAAAGCGCGAGCACAGCGCTGGGCTGCTGAGTGCCCAACACAACGCCCATTGCCGGCAGTCCTTAGATAGCGGTAACGCTCACCCGCTGCTGCCGATACCTGCCAAGGCCAACCCCAAGGAGCCCGGCACTGCAGGATGGAACCCTTCCATAGACGGATGGACTGGGGAAGCTGGGATGCCTCTTCCCCGCAGCAAATCCAGGCTCATGAGGGCACCATGCAGCAGGGCAATGTCAGAGACCTGCAGGATTCTGGCACAGCCACTTCCAGGCGCTGGGGCTCAGCGCTGCGTGCTGAGCAGCGGGTGTGCAATGAGATGAAAAGACCATTTGGAAATCCCCTGGAATCACCCCAAACCTTCACTTCTCTGGCCTGATGGTCTTTCCAACCCTGGCCCCCAAAGTGAAGGACTGCAGGAGGTCAGCCCAAGACCAGCCTGGGGAGCGGTGAGTGAGCAGCCCAAGTGCCCCGTGGTGCTGCCCATCCTGGGCGGCAGCAGGGGCCGGCTGGACACAAAACCATGCACCTGCAGTGAAGCAGACGGACCCCGACCACCTTTTTGGCCCCTGGGATGGAGGCAGGACTCAAGCGAGACCCCACTGCAGGTCTGCTTTCCCAGGGATGTTTAAGCTGTATCCCAGAGGCTCCTCCACAGCCCCAGTACATGGTCTAAAACCTTCATCTGGAGTTTGGCGACACGTTAACCATGGAGAAGTCTCCATCCAGATCCAGAGCTTACCAGCGCTCGGTAACTGCACCCCGAGGCTACTCACTCGTTAAACACACTGATGCTCTATAAATTTCACATTCCACTCATGTACACACGCCGTTACCATTCGGGACACCTACCAACACGAGCAAAACGAGGGTCAGCACACCTCCAGGCCTGGAAAGAGCAGGTTAATTTCCAAACAATGTTATTTTAAAACTTGCTAACTGCCTGCTGATTATGTTATCCAAGCCCTTAATTGGTGAATAGCTTGGCCTTGCAATGACCAGACATGTCTCCCTCATGCTACATACAATAAACCGTAACAGCCTTGGAGGTGAGACCAGGGTGTGTAGTATCAGCTGGAGCAAATGGACGTATCATGGCTTCCAGCAGGTAGGAAGACAGCAAGTCAGAGATCTTGGTTGAATAAAATGTACCCTGTATGACGAAGCGAGCCACCTCCAGAAGCTGTCCACAGAGCACAGCTGCGTGCACTGCGTCACACCACGGGACCACACATTTAACAGCTCCAAGTACCTGGCGGGGAATAGCCCCTCTGATCTCAGGTGGTGATGGCCACTGCGAATACCTCATCCCCTCTGGATCCTGGGGAGCCCCTGAGCAACTTCATCTCAGCAGGCATCACCCCACCTCTTCTGCTCATCTCTGTGCCGCCGGTACTGCTGAGGGACCTACCAAGATATCTCCTCCTGAGCATGCCCCTGCCCAAATGCAGTTCAACCCTCTGGCCATCACAAGTACCAAGCCATGAGAAAAATCAAGCAAAAAACCTCAGCCCAACCAATAAAATCCCAGGGCAAGTTAGCAGGAGCCACTGGGACCACCTGAGACAACTGATAACCATCAAGACGCCTTGCAGAGAGGAGAGATGTAAACAGAGATTCTTCTAGAAAAGAGCTAAAAAATCCTGCTGCTCTCCCAGTGACCTCACCAGCTGGGCTTCTCAGCTAAGTTTCTCTTCCACTGGAATCCGCAACAGGTGACGCTTTTGTATTTTTAATCTACCCTCTTACCCATTTCCACCTTGTTCTTTCCGAGAATGAGATCAGACTCGAAAGAGCCATCAAGAGTTCTCAACATGGCTGAATCACTGCTCGTCTACTTCTTTAAGAGCTTCCTCTGGCTGATTGTTCAACACTCCACCCTCTTCCTCTCCAGCACGGAGACTGCATTTTTTCTTTGTTATTATTTCATGGAAATAACGTTGGGTTAAAGCACATGAGAAAAACCAAACCAGAAGGAAACTTCCGCCCTTTACAATGAGATAACAATGACTGAGCAGTTGAATAACTTGAAGGGCACAGAGAGCTGCAGGGCTCAGATCACTCCTCTGTCTTCCTGGTTGTCTCCTGAAAGATTTTTGAGCTAAAATAATCGTCTCCTCCCGCTACGGTCCCCCTCTGAATGTTTCTTCTAAGGTTTCTGGCCCGCTGCCCGTGGAAGCTGGTGGTGGCAACGGGCACCAGCTCAGGAGCCATCGCCCCGGCTGAACTACAACACCGCGCTGATTCGTAAACAGAGGAAGTACTTTAGCAAACTGACTTTTCCCCCTTTTCAGCGCAAGCCTAGTGATTAATTTAACTTAGTCTTTTCCTTTGCCGTCTCTTTGGCTTCTCTGGGCAAGAGTATGACAACCCAGACGCAGCTCCTCTGACTTTAATGGTGAAAGGCTGGCGGAGTGGGGTTTGAAACTCAGCCCTCTTTCATGCCATCTGCTTTTAACTAGCGGAGCAAGGGAGGTCCTGGGAATAAACGTCACATGGCACAGCAATCTAAAATCAGCCCCACTCATTTGCAGGGATGCCAGTCAAAACTATGGTTATCCAACAGTCTAATTAGGAGCTATCACTAGAAGTCAAAAGACCTTTTGGAAAACCTTCTCATTTTGTCTGGGAAAATGCCTTAGTCAAAGGCAAGTGCCTTTTCTGGAAAGCCACAGCTCCCCAGCGCCGTGAAACCACACTGCGACACCGCAGCAGCCATCGTCTGCAGAGCGGACCTTTTAAAGCTCCAGACTGGGCGCAAGTGCCGAGCATGGGACAGAAACACCCCGCACCTTCAGCTGGGGTCCAGGCAAGATGCACGGAACTCTGCTGCTACTGCTCTTCCAGCACTGAAAGACCCGGCTACCCCTGCCAAGATGGAAAACAGCTCCAAAGGCAGCTTAATTAGGCCGCTTCTGTCGCGAGCCCTCCAGCCGATCAAATGCTCAGTCCTCTCCATTCAATTAAAGCCCTGCGTGCCCCGGACTGCCTGGCAAAGGGACAAGCAAGATAAGGCACCTGGAGTTTTACAAACTATCACTGTAAAATAATAAAGGCAGAGAAAGCTCCTCGTCTCACACTGGCGATTCCCTTTCTGTAACAGGGCTGATAACGTGGTTTTGGTGTTATCAGAGTCGTCTTCACGCAACCCAACTAGCTCTCTCCTGCCACAAATGGCAGGACGCTCGTCCGCTGGAGTAGCGTCTCCCTCGTACGCTATTTATTTCACTCCACATTCTAATTGGATTTGTGGGGGCAGCACAATGGGGCTTTATGGCCAAACTTTGTTAAGTGCCAGGCCGAGCGGAGATGTGGCCAGCAGCCAAAATGGTGCATTTCACGCAGGCGCCAAAGGGCAGTGCCAAGCTTTTCCGCGTCTGGTATCTGTGTTCTTGGCTCTGCTTTGTTTAAGAAGCTTGGAAGCAAAACTCCTCGTAAAGAGATAGTCAAACAAGTGAAAAACCAGGATTTTGCGAGCTGCTATCAGATACCTTGGGAAGTTGCACCTCCTCCAGCCTGGCAGTATCTCTAACATCTGCCCCCACCGCCCACGGAGCGTACCCCGCACGGGGTAAGTGCTTTAACACACCGGGAGCACACACCTTGGTTTCCTGCAAAAATAACTCGCACACACTCGCGAAGCCATCCTGGCATCTGCAGCCAAGAGAGAGGCGGTTATTCACAGCTAGCAACGAAGAAGTTCTTGTTAACTTTTTCTCTTAAAAAAAACCCACCCCAAGCCTCCTTTGGAGGCTTCTTCTCCAAATAGAGTTCGCACACATCAGATCTAATTAGATTCCATCACCATCTGCACATGAAATGTAAATCAGGAGTTGCAGAGACTTAAGAAAAAAAGGGAAGAATGACCACAAGGAAAAGGAGGGGTGTAAGGTTGGGGAGGGGGTGGAGGGTTGGGCATTCTGGGAAGCCATACATGATTAGTCACACAGCATTAATCTGCCTCCCTTAACAATAGCTGCCGAATTTCGACCGAATCCCAGCTGTCGCTCTTTGAATGAAAGAAAACAAGATTTAGAGCGTCAAGCGTTGGTAAGGGCTTCTGTGCAAAAAAAAGTGGCGTGCATTCATTAGTGGCTCACAAAGGGACCCAGCCTTTGTCCATTAAATTGCTCATGTGCCTGATTGATTTGCTGATTTATTTGCACCAAAGGGTTGGGGGGCTCAGCTTGGAGAAGGGGGCGGGAGGTGCCCGGCTACTGGGCAGAGTAACGGCACC